TTATGTGTCTTTTTGACCAAAACATGGCCTATAGATGTGTTTATTTGGCCCCACACAGAAATACAATTTAAGAAACTTTTAAAAACCAGGAGACACTAAAAATATATCTTTTTTTTTTTTGCTTCCTTTGGACAAATCACAAGATCTGTGAATCCTGGGCCCACATTCCCCAGAGCAACAATGTTTGGTAATAGCCCTCTGGACCGGCTATGTGTTCCTAGGCCACCACTCCCAAGGGTGTTCCTGCCCGAGGCCCCTTTGCCATTTACCATCTCATTGCTGGTTATTTTTTGCTTGCACCTGGCCCACCTCACTCAGTCACATTCCCTGCATGGCCCCTGGAGCATTGTTTGAGTTTGTGACTCCTGGTTGGGTGGCCATTGCAAATCAGGGACAGGTTGAAGCAGGGTTTAAACCACTGATGAATCGGGGCCCAGATTGGCCTTCTGCCTCAAGGCTCAAAGTAGACATAGATTGATGGTATAACTTCAAAGGCGGAAGAGACACTTCTAAGAGTTTTGAAAGAACTGCCGCTACTTGTCTGTATAACGTCTATTGTACCTTTCAAGAGAATTATATGATGTTTAAATACAATAAATGAAAGTTTCCAGAAATAGATATAAATACTTTGGAGGAATGCTACCAAATCTTAAATTTGAATCACGTTAAAGAAGCAAGATGAGATTCAAACTCTTAGAATTTCTTTGTAAAATAAAGAGTACTTTATCGTCACCCTTTATGATTTCTGTGTCCTGTATAGTAATAAATGTTTGTGGAAGGAGGGAAGGAGAGAAGAAAGGAAGGAACTCCTTGACGACAGGGATTGGCTCATCCAGTTTCTTTTTTTTAATTTAGTTTTTGTTTGTAAATAATTAGAAGAAGAAACTGCAAAAGTAGTACAGAGAAGTCCTGTGTTAGATTTCCCTAATGCTAGCATCTTCCATAACTCTCGGCCAATCCCTTATTCTTATTCCACGTATTAGGTGTTCAATAAAGTTTACTGAATGAATTTGTTTGCATATAGAAAATGAATGTTATTAGCTACGGATTTAGCTGGCTAGTCTCTTTATTTTATTTTATTACCTTTGAATAGGTAGTATATGCACATGGAGCTAATTCAATAGGTACAATGGGTAGACAGGAAAAATAGGTCTCCCTCGTTTCCCTGCTTCCCAGTCACCCAGATGCCTTTCCAGAGGCGACTGTTTATCCATTTCTTATGTCTCCTTCCACACATAATTAATGTTTGCAAACCCTCATGAATCTTACCCACTCTCTTCCACTATAACATACCATATGAACATTTTTTTCACTTAGCAGTATATATTGAAGATCATCCTATAGAAGTTCATAGAGTGCTTGTTTATTTTTTAAATGGCTATTGAATGGGCGCCTGTGTGGCTCAGTTGGTTAAGCGACTGCCTTCGGCTCAGGTCATGATCCTGGAGTCCCTGGATTGAGTCCCGCATTGGGCTTCCTGCTCAGCAGGGAGTCTGCTTCTCCCTCTGACCCTCCCCCCTCTCATGTGCCCTCTCTCATTCTCTCTGTCTCAAATAAATAAAAAAATAAAAGGCTATTGAATATGAGTCCTATTATATATTAAGTCGGTATACCTTTATTTAACTAATTGCCTATCGATGGACATGTAAGTTGTTTCTTGTCTTTTACTATTAAAAACAACGCTGCGGTGAATATCCATGTCTGTTTTTACTTAGCGCAGATATAGTGTCTTTAGGTACTAAGAATATGTTTATGGATTTGAAATCCCTATACTTCCCTCTTTGGTCATATAAATAGAACACTGATGGTGGAACATTTCCCAAAGCTTTGTGCGGTTTTTGGCCTAAGTCAGTGAGATTTGCCAAAGGTCTGGCAGCTTTAACTGATGCTGATGCACCTGTTCTTGGTTATTTTCATCTGAGCTGCGTTTGATCAGTAGAGAAAAGAACAAGATAAGTTACGCTCAGGATGTCCTAACTAGGGATGTGCCATGAAAAATAACGGATGGGTTTGCCTTCTCTTCATCCTATCACTCAATCCAGTCCTTGCTCTTAGCCAATGGGTCTTATCTCTTATTTGAAGTTATTTCCTATCTCCCCTCACTGCCCATCAGATTTTGGTGAAATTACATTACTCAGTAAGTATCTCCATTTCTAAACAGCTTTACAACTGGTGAGAGATGAATTGTGTTACCTTTGTGTTGCGGGCCTGTGTTTTATTCACCATCTATTTCTTTAAACAGAGCTTTAAAAATTGAAGTCAGTTTCTTTTTTGACCCTTGTCTAGGTTTTTGTTGCAGTCCTTGAGGGGAAGGACTGTTGCTCTTCTCCACATTCGGAATTTATTTTGGTCCCATGAAGTCCAGTGCTCCTAAGCAGCTGTTGGTTAACAAGCTGCCCCAAATGTCTGAAAAATGGGAGGGATACAAAACGATGAGCTTATAACTCATTCATTTAGTCATTAATTCATGCAACAAATATGTCTCGAGTGCCTACTCTGGGCCAGGCAGCCTTGGCCTAAGTCAGTGATCAAGACAAGATCCTTGCCAATATAGAGTTTGTTCTCTGGCATGTGTGTATGTGGGGTGTGGAAGAGAGACAGAAATAAGTAAGCAAATCATTTAGTATGTTAGAAGGTGATAAATGCCACAGGGGTGGAGAGCTTGGGGCAGGCCAAGGGAGATTGGGATTTGGGGAGAGGGGGCACATTGACATTTTAAACAGAGCAGCCTGGGTCCCGAGGGTGTGAGATTTGAACTAAGCCTTCAAAAGAGCAGAGAATAGCCTTACACAGTATCCTGTGTGTAGGTATATGTGTGTGTGTTTTCATGAAAATACCACTAATGGCTTTGAAATTTTTTAAAAACTATATTGAGATATAATTGACATACCATTAAATTCATCATTTTACAGTGTATAATTCAGTGGGTTTTAGTATATTTACAGACTTGTGCAACCATCAGCATTATCTAATTTCAGAACATTTTCATCACCTCCAAAATAAACCCATTAGCAGTCACTACCCATTCCTGCCTCCCTCCAGCCTCTGGCAACCACTAATTTACTTTCTGTCTCTGTAGAGTTGCCTATTCTGGACATTTCATATAAATGGAATCATACGCTATGTGGTCCTTTGTGACTGGCTTCTTTCACTTACTGTAATGTTCTCAAGGTTCATTCATGTTGTACCTCTGTATCAGTACTTCATTCCATTGTATGGATATATTGTTTTTATTGACTTGTTCATCAGTTGATGGTGACCTTGAATTTTAAATATTGCAAAGTGTCATGGGTGGGCTGTAGTAATTGACTTCCCCCTTAATGACTGGACTGTGCCACCTAGGGGGAGATACAGGACTGATGTTGCCCAGACCCAGCCAGCACTGGTTCAGCTTGGTTCTGAGGGAACTTACAAAGCAGCTGTACTCTGAGCCCTGCTTTCCCAGGTGCCTCCCTCCTAAGCAGAAACTCTGGGTGGTCCAAATGTGGCAATGCAGATCCCTGGATTTTTTCAAGTGTATTTTCTATTCCACATTTTGAAAATATTTTTTCTACTCTAAAATGTAACCTTGGTAAGTTGTTTACCCAAAGACAATACTCATTGAGTTTTCTTTTCGTCTTTTTAATATTTTGGGTGTGGTAGCAAGTAGAAGCAGATCATCCTAACCAAATATTTGCAAATATCTGAACAAAGCCATTTTGCTGAGAGAAGGAAAAGTCCACGGAGAAGTGGGAATTGAATCTCAATTTTGAAGGAAGGGTTCGATTCTCATAGGACTAGATGAGGACAGAAAAGGCATGTTCCAAAGAGGGGTGGGGACTTGAAAAGTTTATCTCCTGGACGATTGGTGACCCCTGGGCCCTGGAGCACGTATTTGGTACATTAATTTGGCAGCCATCATTCTGTGCATAAAGACTGATGGTGTTGGAATACTCTGGCCTTCTGCACACGGAGAGACTCAAAGTTTCAGAACCTCTCTTGGAGGGTGTTTGAGTTACAGTCTTTGGGCTGCAAAAAGATGAACTCCATCAGAATTCCATGGCTAAATGGCCCCCACCTCCGCCCCCCAGTTGAGTAACTATCTTAGCGACACCGGGGCAAGAACCAGATGCGTCCCGGCACCGCTGAGCTGCAAACTGCTCTGACCCGCGGGGGCTTTTCCCATTCGATCCTAAAGGTGGGGGTGAGGGTGGAGAGCCGGGTGCGGGCTCCTGGGAACTATGGATTGGGGCCGCAGAGCCGGGAAGGACAAGGCCCTAACTACCGCACGGGACCAGGAGGCGTGGGGCCTCCGGAGAGAACGCAGTCGCCTGGCAGCAGGATGCTGTCAGGGTTCCCGCCGAACTCTGGCAACCGTAAGGAGAAATGTCTGCCGCCGGGGGCGGAGCGCGGATGAAGGGGTGGAGCTAGAGCGTGGGGGCGGAGCGAGGGTGAGGGGGCGGGTACACACCGAGGGAGGGGGCGGAGCGAGGACGATGGGGCGGAGCAAGACGGTAGGCGGTGGGCGGAGCGAGAACAATGGGGTGGAGCGCAGGCGGCGGCGGGCGAGGGGCGGGGCTGGGACGAGGGGGCGGAGCGAGCTCGGGGGCGTGCCCGGCCGTCGGGCCGCCCCCCGCCGCGCCCGCCCCGCCTTCCCGCTCCCCCCGGCGGCCGCGGCGGTCGAGTGCGGGGAGGGTGGGGAGAGCGGGTCACGACGTTGCCGGGGCGGGGATAACCCCTCACGTGGAGCAGATGAAAGGGCCGCGGCGCGACGGCCGGGGGAGCCGAGCCGAGCCTGCGACCCACAAAGCCGCCGCCGCCGCCGCCGCGATGGGGCTGTGAGGCGTCCGCCCGCGCTCGGTCCTCCGCCGGCCCGCGACTATGCCCGGCCGCGCCCGCCCTCCGCGCCCTCCCGCCGCAGGACCATGAGGCCGCGCTCGGGCGGGCGCCCA